TGCTTGGCCTGCTGTGTTCATCCAGCTCTACACCTTGTTATCTCAGATTCTCCAGCATCGGCAGTTCCTACTGTCTCTGGTGTGCAGAATGGAGCTCCGAATGGAGTGTCATACCCTGCTGCCATCTGCACAGCTTCAGGTGGACAGTCCAGTTCCAGATAAACACACTATCGTTGGAGGATTTCACTTGGTTGTTCCCAGGTATTGAGGGAATGTTTTATGAGGAGAGGTTGCGTAAGTTCGGTCTTTACTCTTTAGAGCACAGAAGAATCAGAAGTGACTTTGTTTAAACATGGAAGATTTGTCGGGGACTTGACAATGTAGGCGTGGAAAGGTCATTTCCCCTTGTGGGAGAATCTACGTGCAGACAGTATAATCTTGGATCAGAGATAGTAGGAATAAGGGTCGCCCTTTTAAAACAGAGAATAGGAGGAAGAAGGGTGCCATCCCGAAACGCCAACTTTCATGCTCCTCTGATGTTTATCAACATCAGCTTTTCCTGTCAGTCAATTGAAAAATATTTTTTTTCAGCAAATTCCCTGTGATTTCAACTGTAATTATCATATTTCAGCTAACTTCCAGGAAATAGTACATTCGTGAAATTGTGTTGATTAGTCATTAACCATACCTCGTATTCCACAAGCCCGTGTGCCTATAGGAGTGAACTTCCTCTGAAAATGCTGGATAGCGTCTCTCTTATAAATAATGTGTGGTTGTTGTTCCCCTCTTTGCCTTGAGTGGCCATTGACAGGTTCAATAAGATAGTCTCCAGTGCGTAGTCGAAACAAACCATGCTGCAGAAAAGGACAGATAGAATTTAAAATCAATTTTGCACCTTTGCTGCATTGCTTTGATTCCAAACATAAATATTACATCATAGAACATAGAGCAGTAAAGCACAGGAACAGGCCATTCGGTCCACCTTGTCTGTGCAAATCATGATGCTATTCTAAACTAATCCCATCTGCCTGCACATAGCACATGTCCCTATATTCACTATCTGTTCATGTGTCTGTCTAAATGCCTTTTAAATGTTGCCACTGTTTCTGCTTCTACCACCTTCCCTGGCAGCATGTTCCAGGCACCTACCAACCTCTGTGTAAAATACTTGCCTCACACATCTCCTTTAAACATTCCCCTTCTCACCTCAATCCTATGCACGCTAATATTTGACATTTTCACCCTGGAAAAAAGACTCCAACTATCCACCCTATTCACACCTCTCATAATTTTATATACTTCTATCAGGTCACCCCTCAGCCTCCAATGCTCCAGCAAAAAGAATCCAAGTTTGTCCCAACCTCTCCTTATAGCTATTACACTCCAATCCAAACAACATCCTGGTATCTTTCACACCCTCTCCAAAGCCTGCACATCCTTCCTATAGAGTGGTGACCAGAACTGTACACAATACTCCACATGTGGCCTAACTAAAGTTTTATTCAGCTGTAACATGACTTGCCAACTTTTGTACTCAATATCCTGCTGAAGAAGACAACTATGCAATGAGGCTTCTTTCCCATCTTATCCACTCATGTTGCCACTCATGTTCAATGAGCAATGGACTTGCACCCAGAGATCTCTCTGCATATCAGTGTTCCTAACGTCCTGCCATTTACTGTATACTTCCCTCTCGCATTTGACCTCCCAAGATGATTCACCTCACATTTGTCCAGGTTAAACTCCATCTGCCATTTCTCCACTCAACCTTCCAACTGATTTCTATCCTGCTGTATCCTTTGACAACTTTCCTCATTATCCACTAATCCATCAATTTTTGTGGTCTACAAACTTACTAACTAGACCAACATTTTCATTCAAATCATTGTATATACAACAAACAACAGGTCCAACACTGATCCTTTCAAAACACCACAGGTCACAGACCTTCTGTCCGAAGAACACCCCTCCACAACTACCCTCTGTGTTCTATGGCCAAGCTAATTTTGTATTCAACTTACCAACTCGCCATGGATCCATGTGGATCATGTGACTTAATATTCTAGGCCAGCCTACCGTGAGGGACCTTGTCAAATGATTTAGTAAAGTCCATGGAGACAATATCCACTGCCCTACCTTCATCAATCATTTCGTCACTTCCTCAAAAAAATTTGTGAGGCAAGACCTCCTCTGCACAAACCCATGCTGACTATCCCTACTATGTTAATTCTTTTCCAAATGTGAGTACACCTCTGAATCTTGTCCCTTGGAATTTTCTCTGACAAGGCTCACTGGCCTATACTTTCCTGAATTGTCTCAATCAAAGGAGCAACATTGGCTATTCTCCAGTCACAGGGACATCACCTGTGGTTAAAGAGTACTCAGAGATTTATGTCAAGGCCTCAACAATCTCTTGAGTTGCCTCTTTCAATATCCTGCGATAGATCCCATCAGACCCTGGGGACTTCTCTATCTTAATTTTTTGAAGACACTCAGCAGCTTCTCCTTCTTAAGACAGAAATGCCCTGGAATATCAACATACCCATCCCTAATCTTACCATCATTCGTGTCCTTTTCTTTGTTGAATACCAATATGAAGTGCTCGTGAAGGACCTCACCCACATCCTCTGGGTCTATGCGTAAATTTCCTCCTTTGCCCTTGTGTGGACCTACCATTTCCCTAGCTACCCTCTTGCTTCTAATATTATGTAAAAGCCTTAGGATTCTCCTTAATTCTACTTGCTAAGGACATTTCACGGCCCCTTTTAGCCCTTCTAATTCCTTGTTAAGGTTATTTCCTGCTTCCTTTATATTCCTCAAGAGCTTGTCTGATTTCAGTTTCTGAAACCTTACATATGCTTCCATTTTCTTTTTGACCAAACTTTCACTATCTCTTGACATCCAGACATCCTGAATTTTGCCATCCTTATCTTTCATCCTCACAGGAACATAATCACTGCCCTTTAAAAGACTCCCACATGTTAGCTGCCCCCAATCTAATTCTCCAGTTCTTGCCTAATACTGCTGTAATTAGAGATAGTAAGCACTGCCGATGCTGGAGTCAGAGATAACACAGTGTGGAGCTGGAGGAACACAGCAGGCCAGGCAGCATCAGAGGAGCAGGAAAGTTGACGTTTTGGTCGGGACCCTTCTACAGAAATGCGGGAGGGGGGGAAGGGAGCCCAGAAATAAATAGAGAGAGGAGGGGTAGGGCTGGGGAAGGTAGGTGGGATCGTAATAGATGAGTGCAGATAGGGAGTAGTAGGGATTGGTCAGTGAGGTGGTAGGAGCCGATAGGTGGGAGAGAAGATGGACAGGTTGTGTCAGGTCAAGGAGACGGGGATGAGAGGTAGGGTTGGTCGTGGGATGAGACGGGGTGGGGGTCGATTTTGAAACCGGTAAAATCCACATTTAGGTCATTGGGCTGTAGGCTCCCAAGGTGGAACATGAGGTGCTGCTTCTCCAGTTTCCAGGTGGCGTCATTGTGACATTGGAGGAGGCCCAGGATGGACATGTCATCCAGGGAGTGGGAGGGGGAGTTGAAATGGTTCACGACTGGAAGGCGTTGTCGTTTGTCACGAACAGAGCACAGGTGGTGTACAAAGCGGTCTCCGAGCCTCCACTTGGTCTCACCGATGTAGAGAAGGCCATATCGGGAGCAGTGGATGCAGTAGATCATGTTGACAGATGTTCAGGTGAACTTCTGTCTGATGTGGAAGATTTGTTTGGTGCCTTGAATGGAGGTGAGGGGGGAGGTGTAGGGGCAGGTGTAGCACTTCCTGCAGTTGCAGGGAAAGTGTCGGGGGTGGTATGGCTAGTGTGGAGTGTGGAGCAGATGAGGGAGTCACGGAGAGAGACATCCCTACAAAAGGCAGATAGGGGTGGGGAGGGAAAAATATCTTTGGTTGTGGAGTCGGATTATAGGTGGCAGAAGTGGCGGAGAATGATACGCTGGATATGGAGGTTAGTGGGGTGATATGTGAGGAGTTGGGGGATTCTGTCTTTGTTTTTGTTGGGGGGAGGGGATATGAGGGCAGAGGTGCGGGAAATACAAGAGATGCGGTCGAGGGCATTTTCAACCACCGAAAGTGGGGAAGTTGTGGTCCTTGAAATAAGAGCACATCTGGGATGTTCGGGAGTGGAACGCCCCATCTTGGGAGCAGACATGGTGGAAGCGGAGGAATTGGGAATAGGCGATCACATTCTTGCAGGAAGGTGGGTGAGAGGAGGAGTAGTCTAGGTAGCTGTGGGAGTTGGTGGGCTTGAAATAGATGTTAGTTTCAAGGCGGTCACCAGAGATGGAGATGGAGAGGTCCAGGAAGGGAAGGGATGTATTGGAGATGGTCCAGGTGAACTTGAGGTTGGGGTGAAAGGTGTTAGTAAAGTTGATGAATTGTTCAAGCTCCTCATGGGAGCACAAGGCAGCACCGATACAGTTATCGATGTAGCAGAGGAAGAAGTCAGCAATAGTGCCAGTGTCACAGCGGAAGAGCTTTCCCCCAATTTAGGACTTTCATCTGAGGACCAGTCTTATCCTTATCCATAACCACTATAAAATTTATAGAATTATGATCACTGTTCCCAAAATGCTCTCTCACCAAAACTTCGATCACCTGGCTAGACTCATTTCCTAATACTAGGTTTAGTATGGCCCCTTCCCTTACTGGAATATCTACATATTGTTGCAAGAAGCACTGCTGGATGCACCTAACAAATTCCCCCCCATCAAAGTCCCTGGCAGTAAGGAAGTTCCAGTCAACATTGGGAAAATTAAAATCACCCAAAGACAACAAGACCTTGTGTAAGGTTTAGAGGAAGCAGAATTCTTAAGAATTATCTAGGACAGCTTTTTAACTCAGTATGTAGAAGTTCCATCAAGCGAAGGGATAATCCTAGATATAGTTTCAGGTAATGAAGTTGGGCAGTGATTGAAGTGTCAGTGGACGAGTATTTTACAGACAGTGATCATAACTTGGTTAGATATAAGAGTGTTATGGCAAAGGACAAGAATGTTCCTGAAATCAAAGTTCTAAACTGAGGGAAGGCCGTTTTAAAAATAAAAGGGCAGGAAAGAATAATGGTGGGTAAAATAAAGAAAAATTCCAAATTATTTTGTAACTACATTTAGGATAAAAAGGGTAACTAGGGAATAAGTAAGACACATTAAGGTCTACAGTGGTAATTTGTGCATGGAGCCAGGGGACATAGATAGGGGTCCAGATGAATATTTTGTGTTGGTGTTCACTAGTGAAGGGGATGATATGGGCACAGAAATCAGGGAGAAGGACTATGATATACTTAAAGAAATTAGCTTGATAGAGAGGAAATTCTGAGCAGGCTAGCCAGCTTAAGAGGAAATAGACCTCTGAGGCTGGATGAAATGTATCCCAGGCTGTTGAGTGAGGCAAAAGAGGAAATAGCAAGGACCTTGGTAGCAGGTCAAATCGATAAAGTGGTTAAGAAGGCATATGAAATATATGCCTTTATGATTTGAGTTTAAGAGCAGGGCGGTTATGCTGGAACTGCGTAAAATTTTGGTAATGCCACAGCTAGAGTATTGTCTGTAGTTCAGGAATTCACATTATGAGGAGGATGTAATTGAATTGGAGACGGTGCAGAGGAGATTTACCAGGATTTTGCCTGGCCTGGAGGACTTCAGTTATAAAGAGACATTGGACGGACTGCAGTTGTTTTCCTTGGAGCGGAGGAGACTGGGGTGGGGGGATGGGGAGGGGGTATGGCAGTGGAGGTAGAAATTCTCATGATATTTAAAAAGTATTTAGGTATATGTCTTGGCATCACAATTGCACAGAGCTACAGGCCAAGAACTGGAAAATGGGGTGAGAATAATGAG